ACGACGACTCCTGGACTGACCCAGGTCGTCGTGGTCGTCGTGGTCGTCGTCGTCGTCGTCCTACGTGCGTCCTGTTTGACTATGTCTGATGGGCGGGACGAAGATGCGAGCCAGAGGAATGTCGAGAAATAAGAGAGAACAGGAGGAAGGAGAACATGCATGTTGAGAGCATATCATGCAAATAGGAAAACAAAGAAACCTAATATACAAGGGAAAAAAGGGAAAATAAAGAAAAGAAAGGACTTTGCCAGTATCTCTTTTGTTTCAAAGGAGTATGGACCGACGTTGAAGACAAGACGACACACGAACATCAGACTATACCAAGTATTTTCCTTTTAATCATCGCAAACTATCATTCGGATGCAAATCACGGAAGAATCGAACTAACGAACACTCGAACCAAGAGAAAAAAAAAAAATCACCTGAATCTCGGGTTTGTCCAAAACGTCTTATGATTCACTTGGAAGACCAACGTAAGCTGAGATGACCGGGGGGGGGGTCTTTTCTAGAGGAAATATCTTAAAGTTTTAATATATTAGCATTTTATGTAATAATGCGTATGGTAACTAAAACAACAACATTATCAATAGTAATATGACATGATAAAAATAATAATATAGTAATAATGACAGTAATAACATTGCGATAAATATCATGCTAATAATAGTAGCACTCCTAACACTAGTATTAATGATAATTATAATAATGATGATGACGATCATGATGATGATGACGGTGATGTGATGATGATGACGATAATGATGATGATGACGGCGATGTAATGATGATGATCATTCCTATCATTACACTACATCATTATTACCATCATTATCATCATCATCGTCAACAAAGGAAAGCCCCCTTCCCCTACAACTCTCCTCCTCCCTCAGTGCCCCTCCCCTACCCCACAAACCCACCCGCCCACCCCCCCCACCCCCCCCCCACCCACCCACCACCCCCAACGCCCATCCGAGGCCCTCCCCATCGAGGCCTTGACACCGCGTCCTCGCCCTCGTCCACAACAACAAAATTAAAGGATAATTTTTGGCCGAGTCCCCCTCCGCGCCGTGATAAAAGGGGGAAAGCCGCGGGGGGGACCCAGCTGGCCTTGCATGTCCTATTTCCAAGCCTTTTGGTGCCCTCATCTCTCCCCTGCCCTGCCCCCTGCCCCTCTACTCCTCTTCCTCCTCCTCTCCTCCCCCACCACTCCTCCTCCCCTCATCTCCTCCTCCTCCTCCTATCCTCTCTCCTCCTCTACCTCCTCCTCCTCCTCTTCCTCCTCCTCCTCTTCTTGCTGCTGCTCTCCTGCCTCCTCTTCAATATATATATTTTTTCCCCTACCCTGATTTTCCTTTTCCTTTCTTTCCACCTTTTCGTTTCTTACATTTTCTTCCTCTCCGTCCCTTCTTTCCTTCTTCCTTCACCTTCTCTCTCATTTCTTCTTTCTTTCTCCCCCATCTTCTTTTCATTTTCCCTTTTTCTTCGGTTTTCACCTCAAACAACCTCTCTCTATTCTCTCTTCTCCTTTTATTCTTATTCCTTCCCCCTTTCCCTTTCCCTCTTCATTTCCCTCCCTTTTCTTCTCATCCTGTTTCTCACTCTCACCCTCTTCCCCTTTTTCCCTTTTCCCTCTTCTTCCATCTCCATCTCCATTCCACCTTCATTCCTTCTCTCTTCTTCCTTCTCTTTCTCCTCCTTTCCCTCCCTCTCTTCTTTCCTATTTCTCTCTCGTCCCTCCTTCTCTTCCACCTCTCTGCCTCTCTTCTTCCTTCTATTTCTCCCCCGTCCCTCGCCCTTTTCTTCACCTTCTCTCTCCCTCTCCCTTCCCCCTCCCCTTTTCTTCCTGCCTTTCCCTTCACCCTCCCTCTCTTCTTCTTCTATTTCTCCTCCTCCTCCCTCCACCTTTCCCTTCCTTCTCTCCTTTCTTCATTTCTCCCATCCTTCCTCCCCTTCACTCTTCTCTCTCTCTCCTCTCTTCTCTCCCCTTTTCTCCCTGCCTTTCCCCTGACCCCTCCGGCCCCACTCGCGCCAAGATGCGGGCAGCGTCTGGTCACCGGGACGCACAAAAGACCACTAAGTCTGCCCGCGTGTCTTGGGAGGAGGGAAGGAGGGGAGGTGGGGAGGTGGGGAGGGGAGGAGGGTTGGTGGGGAGGAGGGAGGAGGGCTGGCCGGTGGGGGGGGGGGGAAGAAGGGCTGGTGGGGGAGGTGGGAGGTGGGGAGGGAAGGAGGGCTGGTGGGGAGGTAGGGAGGTGGGGAGGAGGGAAGAAGGCTGCAGGTGGGAGGAGGAGGTTGAGGGAGAGGAGACTGAGAGGTGGAGAGGAAGGAAGGAGGGCAGTGAGGAAGGAGAGGAGGGGAGGAGGAGGTTGTGAGAGAGGAGATTGAGAAGTGGGGAGGCAAGAAGGAAGGAGTTGGGGAGGGGGAGGGTTGGAAGGTGGGGAAGGAGGGAGGAGAACAGGTGGGTGGTAGGGAGGTGGGAGGGAGGAAGATTGGGTAGTGGGGA